ATTAACGTCTATATCAGAGATCTGAAAAAAGTGCGCAGAACCCACCAGGCCCTCTGCTCCGATGTCTGAGCAGGTCCCAGACCTCTATACAACCTCTTCCCTCCTCTCCCTCCCTGCCTGATGGAAAGGAGGAAGACATCCGCATCACAAGCCAGCAAGTTACAGGACTGCCTGCCTGCAGCGGCACTGATGTGCGTCTGTGGTGGCCAAATACCCGCCCTATTTATAGAGAGCCTGACTCAGCGGACAGTGTGGAGTCAGCCCACCTGTTCATGTCTGCTTTTGCTAAAGGGGCAGAATCCTGCCTGCCCTGCTCCAGGTGACAAGGTCCAAGCACACAAGCATGAATCATGGGACATAGGGAAAAGCCTGCACTAGAGTACTTGACAACCAGTTAATAGCTACACATTAAACTGTTGTGCTTTTCCCAGAAAATCTTTCAGGTACTCAGTGGTTACCACTTGGGCTCAATGTAAAAGACACCAACCTGACATCTAGTCAAAAGTTGAAATACTTATGCTGATTGCCTATGTATCTGATGTGCTGCGGCTCAAAAGCACAAGTTTAGAAACAACTTCTTGCTGTAGTCTCTCCTGGCTTTCCTCACCCCACAGTGAGTAACTAGAGACTCTGCACCTCAAAGCAGCAGTTTTAGGCCCAGGCCTCCATAAACTCACCCTGTCAAGAGATCCTTCCTTCAGGAGTCTCCAGAGCACTGCTTATCCAGCCAGCTGGTCTACCTTGCCTACAGCAGTTTCCAGCCCAGGGGATGTTATGGTATGTATTTCATGCCTCATGACCCCCATGCAGATTTCCCCGTGTGTAAAGGATTGACCCCAATGAGTTATTTGCATGGCTGAATTCATTCTTCTACCCATCATGTAGTAGTCTACGTCCACAATATTTACAACTCAGAGTGTTTGATCACTGCAGTATGGGCTCTTGCAATCATCGTTAGCAACAGGGAAAGCTCAGACCTGGGCACTTTGCCAGGTTAGTAAAACTTTCCATGAGGAAAGGTTTTTGTTCTCTCCCAGAGCAGCTTAAGCTCAGGAAAGGGGGTGGGAGGAGAAGAGAGAAACTCAGAGCCCAGACAGGGCAGACATGATTGGGCTCCCTCATCTACCTGCTTGTTGTTTTAATGACATCTAGATTTCTGCAAACCCAAGAGCCTGCAGTGGAACTGAAAGGCCTGATTGTGGCAGAGGCCAGGGGGCAGCCACAGTGACAGGGGCACACAGTGGCAGAGAGGCAAACACCTTGGGACCAGTCATTTCAGCCAAAACAAACTAAGAGGAGGGTCTTCCTTCCAGCAAACTGGTGCTTCTGCTGCCACCAATCCCCCTTCGCATGGATACTAGAATATGTGCCACAGACCTCACAAGCAAACAGAAGAGTTTCCATCTGATGTGTACACAACAGAAGCCAATGCATGGTGCTGCCCATGTTCACATGTACAATCAAGAGGAGACCTGTACAGGAACCTGTACAGAAGAGGAGCATCACTATGTAGCCCAGCTTTTGACAATGGCCAATTCAGGGAAGGTCCTGGAAAAACAGCTCTCGTATAACTCTGAGGCATGCTTTTAGAAACTTACATTTAAACTAACATGACACTCATAATACTAATACCTTTTAAATGTATTTTGCAATTTTGCCATGCTCAAGAAGTCTTAATTGAAAGCTAAGTCTTACGAAGATTACCACTGAAAGAAATTACCACTGAAATTTATTTAAGGGCCACGGACTTTTGCAACACACGAGAGTAGAAATGACTGAAAAACAGTGAATCCTAAGCAGATGAAGGGAGGGTTCATTTTTTATTCTGAGGCTTAAATTATTCCTCAAAATAACTGGATGTCCAGAATGCAAACTACCCCTACAAGCTCTAACATGTGACCAAACTCAGGCTGTATGCACACACTGTAAGTGAACTGCCCTCCTGGATTGCATTCTGATACAAATACTGAAAATATATAAGTGTGCCCAGAGTGCACTAGACTCTCAGAACTACACAGATTCCCAGAACAGAAAATCAAAACCTAAAGGGAACTAAGACTCAACAAAAGTATAGGTGGGATACATTCTTCCTACCTCCTCCCAAGTCCAGCTGCCTTAGAGTCACAGCCCCCGCTACCCACACACACCTGTGCAGATGGAACCAGCACAAATGATTAAATGAGGGGCCAGAGTGCACTGGCCACAGAATTCCACAGGCAAGAAGAGCACTTTGGTTAAGTGCTGGTGGGGAGAGCCGGCCAGTCTCCGTGCTTCTTTAGGCTCCCAATCACTTGGGCTGCAGTGGCCACATGCTTGGCCCTCTGTGTTCCTTCCTGTCTGCAATTCTGCAATTGCAGGAAACAGTCCTGTGCTCTGGGGAGGACTCAGGGCACCTTGTGCCCACATAGAGCTAAGCTCCAGAAGAAGTACCGAGCCTCGCTCAGCCTGCCTGGCTGCTGGAGCTACACCACTGCCTCAGGCTGTCAGAGGCAACCCAGAGGCCCTTTCTGTAGAACACTCACTTACACTAAAAGTACATCCATGTCCCCAGCTTTTAGTTCTTCCTGCTTTATAATTTGACTAAGGCCACTTGAAATCAATGGAGTTTAACTTTTCGGCGCAGATTTTTGTGGTTGTGTCCACTCTCAGCGCTCCTTCCCCGGGTAGTTGTAAATGTAAACTGAGACTGAAAACAAAAGACATCACACTAGGAAGGGTTCCTCTGCCTGATGCATGGCTCCCTCTCTGCCTTAGGGAGAGCTCATGGCACTGACTTCTTATGTGAGCAACGCTACACCTCTGTGAGGGGAGATCTGCGATGCCTGCGCTTCTCTGAGGCAGAAGGGTGAAATTCAACAAAGTCTGTAACAAATGATATGCTCCTGTGTCTCCTTCCAGCCCTGCAGCTCCAGCCAGTCTCGCAGGAAGAGCGCCAGCATCACACTCTCCATGCAGAGGGTACTGAACACAGCATCCCCACCTCCCAGAACATCTCATCTGCCCCACATCGCAGCTCACAACAAAGCTGCAGCTGACACTCGCAGCCATGAACTCCAGCGCAGTGGGAAACGAGGCTGACCTGCTTCCCGTCTCTGGGCCACAGGCACTGCCCACATGTGGGAATCCAGGTCTGGCTGGCCCAACTGTCTGGGCAAGGCCGCCCTGCCCGTGACCAGGTGACAAAACCCTGGTAGGAACATATAGCACTTCCTGAGGCAGCTTGAATGGTGAGACTGCAAGAGCACCACAGTCACTCATCACAGTGGCTCCTTGGGCAGAATTCTTGAGCTAAGGAATTAGTACTATGTGGCCCACCACTGCAAGTTTGACCACCTCGAGAGGCCTAAGGACAGACAGTTTTGTTTACAGAATGTATGAAAATAAATTTGGTGTGGACAGTCAGATACAAATTGGTACATATTCTTGACATCTTGTGGCCGTAACAAGCCTTCAGGAAGGTGCTCAGGGTAGCCATAGCCCTGGAATATGAATTCAAAGCAGGGAAGAGGCCCAGGAAGATGAGAGGCCTTGTGAGTTAGCTTCTGTAGGCCCCTCACTCAAGGACAGATGGAGAGCTCTGGCACACGAACATGACCAACAAGTACACCACAAATCAGAGTGCTGGGTGCAAGGGTTAAATATTTTTTTAAGCCCAAATTTTGCATGCATCCTCCTCAAAAAGCTTGTAGCCTTGAGTTAGAAAATTGGAGGATGACATTCAGCAGGAACTTTTGAAACGCTAAAGCTCAAGTGTTTTGTCTACCAGGTCACTTGGGGTAGACGCGGGGCCTGTTACCATGAAGCTTAAAACACTCCTCACCCACAGGCCAGCCCACTCCACACCACAGTCTCTTAAAACAAGAAGCAGAGCCCTGGGCACAGCTGGTACTTCTAAATGTTCCTTCCAAAGGTCCCCATGAAGCAAAAGGAATGCCTGGAAGCTGACAGTCACAGCAGTGGAAAAAGCCAACAGCATTCAGCTCTGCTACTTTCGTGGCAAACCAACTAAAAGAGGCTACAAGTCCTAAACCTCAGGCAGAGGAGACTGAGCAAGTTTCAGCACCGCCCTAGGCCCGCCTAGGTCTAGGTGGTGGGGTATGCTGCTCTAGGCATGCTGGCCAGCACCCTGGCCTGGGAAACCACTCACATCAGGAAAACTGGCCGTGCCTTCGATGGAGCCCAAACAGCCCAAGCGGCCCAGAAAACATGAACTGAATCCACTCCTAGTGAGAGGATCACTAGTGCTTCAGGTGACAAGGCTAGTCGCTGAGGTGCTATGGTGAGGCGACCTTTTATCACTCATCTCCAAAAAAGGAGGGACTCTTTCAAACACAAACACATGTAGAAAAACAGGAAGAGTCTAGTCTGTCATGCATACCTTAGTACTCAGACTTCTGTACCAACTGGCCAGACCACCGACATGCCAGGTGCTACCTTTGCAAGGCATCCTGGACATACTGTGCTCTGTTGTGCTCCTATCCTGAGCAAGCTTGTGTGCTGGACTGGGAGGAGGTCCCTGCCTGGACAGAGGCACCCTGCTCCTTCTTCACATTCCCTGAGCGCCTGACATTTAAATATTTAAATTTTTCCACATGGTTGCCCAGAGTAAAACATTAATCCCAGCCAGACCTTTGTCTCAAGACTGTTCTCTAAAGAAACTTCTCAAAGGCCCATGAGTATTCTCTTCTACTTTCTGAACGCACAAGCAGCTTTTTGTTCAGCTTTCATCAACAAACTTGGGGCTTCCAAGGTTGGACCAGTAATCCCCAGGGAAGGGCCACGGCAATGACTGGAGCAGAACCAGTACCATGCAGCTTGCTGCTGCGGACCAGCACAGCACAGCACAGCACGGCAACGAGACTGCACCTGCAACCACACTGAGGGACGGTCTCCCCCACCAGACACCAGGCTAATTGCAGCTCCTCTGCACCCCGATTCCTCCTCGAGCTCCCGGGCAGGGCGCAGGTGGAGCGCACACCTGTACATGTGTGGGTACTTACCATCGTCCAGGTACAACTGGTCCAACTCTTCAGGTTCTCGCTTGATCGTTACAGGAATAGGGGCCAAATTATGATTACTGTCCTCACGCACCTCTGGCAGTGACAGTGGCCCGGTGACTGGAGACTCGTTTCTTCGACCCTTCGGTGACTGGTGCTGCTGCTGGCCCGTGGCGGGAGGGTGGGCTGAGGACTGCAAGCAGGTTGGCTCATGGGTAGTGGATGAAAGTGGAGAGGAGGGGCTGTTGGGACAGAGTGCTTGTTGGTAACCAAGGGAACAGCTACTGCTCAGTTGTGGACTCACCTGCGGCTGCAGCAGGACTGGAGGGGGCTGCTTGGGTGAGCCGGGCTGCACGGCCATGGGTCTCGGCACTTCCTGAACGGTGGGGGCCTCTGCAGCCTGCAGTTGAAGTCCAAGCTGACTGTGGCCCGGGCTGGCAATGCCCTTGGTGTAGGCTGCGGAAGAAAGGTCATGGAGCTTTGGACTGGAGCTGGGAGGTGTGGACATCATGGTGCTCCTCTGTGGATATGGGGCGAAGCCGGCCACAAGGCAGGAGCTGGGGTCAGGCGGCATCGCAAGCTGTGGGCTGTAGTACTGTCTTGGGAGAGGACTTAACCCCTGGCTCATGGGTCCGCACGTCAGGGCAGGCTCATAGTCATCGGTGGGTTCTGTTTTTATAATTGGAACTGTGAGGAGGGAAGAAAAAGTTAAATAAACAAAAGTTGCAGATGGGTACGACTGGGCGGGCTGTGGCTAGGATACCCTGTGCAAAACAAACAACGTCTTGACTGAGTCCCTGTCTCTGACTGGTTCTCCCACCCAATTAAAAAAGGAGTGAGTCACCGGCTGAGAGTCACAGCTGGTTCTAATAGAGAGAACTATTTTCCTTGGAATCTCCCCCAGCACTAACGTGCTATAAAAATCCATTTGCAAACTGCAGTAGAAGGTTTGGGCCCAAGGGTCCTTGGATTTGTAGCAATCAAAGTGAAAATTTTAACTTGGAGCCACTGCTGTTCTATGGCTACTGATGCTGTCTGATAAATTCTGCACATAAGGTAAACCTGAGCATGTGGTGAGATGGCTTTGGAAGCTAGAGAGAATCCAGCTGAGAAGGTAAACAACACTGCTGCAGGAGAGAAGCCGTGAACCACTACAGAAGAGCACTTCTGCACTGGCAGGAATGCCGCCTCTCCCTCCGCCCCGTCTGGTTTCCACTCCTGCAGGGGACACACAGAGGCAGGCACCAGGAGACCCTGGCGCTTTTCAGAGAATCGGGAGCTCCCAGCTCTCTAGACCTTGAAGAGGCTGACGGGCCAGGAAATATGCCCAGAAAGACCCAGCCTCTGTGGCTGGGCACTGGGCCCAGGCTTGCGGCCAGAAGAGGCGCCAGGCTCCTCCCTCAGCTGCACAGGCCTCTGTGCCTTGGTTTCCGCAGGAGAGCTGGGAAGACGATGGGGGTGGCAAGTGGGCCAGGAAGGAGTGCCAGGCAGACCCTGCGGGGAGCCCATTCTCGCCCGGCTTGCTTGCTGCACTGCCGCATTCCTACTGGTCTTGCCTCTTTTGCTGCTCAGAAGAGTCAAGCTATTCCACAAATAAATTCCACAAATGACTGGCAACAACACACTTCAGTTCACGACAGACCATGCTGCTGCTTCATGCCAAGCTGTGTGTCAGCCACACAGGGGACTGCCCTTCCACTGCAGCTGACAGGCCACATGCAGCCCTTAACACAGGCACTCGGCTCCTGGGATGAGCACATACTGTGAGGAGGGCTCAGCCTTCTCTGTGAATATATACACCCACATTCTGAGAGAAATTCTTTAGCCAGGTCTTGTGCCAGCAAGAATGTTTAACTGTTCCCCCGATTGCCCCAGAGTGTCTGTGTCACCAGCAGCTATGAGGAAGGAAGACACAGTTTGCCTGAAACTCAGAAGCGCCTTGCTAACAGTGATCTCTTCTGCAAGTCTGGGTGACTCTGTGGAGGCCAGTGTGAGGAGCCCACTGGCTGTCTGAGGTGCCACACTACCTGGGGAGGAAGTCACTCTAGGCCAACGATCCACACATTCAACCTCCAGGCCCAGAGGTGATACTGAAACCTTCAGGGCCAAGGTTCCAGAGGGCCACTGCAGCTACATTTATACACTGGCTTCCCTGTCTCCGTTTTCACCCATTCCAATTGTCTGAGTGTCTCTGTGCTGAGAGGTCTGTACAAGTGCTAGAGTGAATGGACTACGGAAGTGTTGACATTTACAAGGTAAAAAAGCAACAGGGCAACTGTGAGCAGGGGCCTCAGCCACTCTCAGAGAGACGGTGCAAGGTCCTCCATGGCCTGTTCTCCAATCCTCGGCACTGGATGGTCCTGCCATGTCGGGCACAGGCGCTCAACACACCCCGCCCGGGACGATAAGACCACGTCAGCTTCCGCAATGCGTTATGTCCCTCTCTAAATTAGCCACCCCGTTCGCACCTCGTGCTCACTCCGTATTCACCCCGTGCCGACTCTGTGGCAACCCCTGATTGGCCACAGCTGGGTATAGTAGCCAGAGCCTGCGTCCCATTCCCGCCCTGCTTCCTCGTGGCAGCCTGTGATTGGTCACGGCCGAATATATAAACCAGAGCCCGCGTGAATAAAGCAGCTGTTCCTGTTACCACCTGAAGCATCTCCTGTCTCATTGGGGGGCTTCGCCGGTCACTGCCATGGCTACCTGGGCGGTGCAGCCAGCACAGTGAGCCAGAGGACAGCAGCAGATGGATGATAGTTTCATGTGGTCACAGGGAGCGCTGGACTTGTATAGTCAGCTATGTGGACTCCACCAGCAAACTAAATACCTTCCCACAGAGGACCTGGGTCGCCTACCCAGAATGGCCTGCCATAGGCAAACTGTCCTCTGGGGAAGGTTTTACCATTTCTTCCTAAGGGCACCACCCACCAGGGGCCTGGAAGAAGGGTGTGTGTCATGCTGGACTCATTCAAGAGCTGCCACTGGCTGCACAATGACATCAGGACAACCTGCCACATTGAGGGCAGTTGGCTGGTCCCACAAGGGAAGCAGGAGCAGGTCCGTGTGCAGCCTGCATTTCTTGTGAGCTGCAGAGGAAAGAGATGTGGGAGCATCAGCATTTGCCAACCAGGCTGCTGTGCACTTCCGGGAGAGGGCCCACATGTCACCTTCTGAAGGCTCAGAAGACCTGCAGTTGGTACAACTCGGAGCAATGACTAGAATCCTGGGCTGACTGCTAAGCCACCCCATACGACACAGCAGAGAGACACTCTTGGTGGAGAGCAGGCCTGACCACACAGAAAGGTAGAAGCCACATAAGCCCCAAGGCCAGGCCACTTCTGTATGGCTCCAGTGTGACTGTGGGCTGTGATTAGTATGAGAGCCTCCCTCATCAGGGCTCCCCATTAACCTCTCCATCTGTACGTCAGCAGCCATGCCCACGGCCCCAACAGGACTTCAGCTTCCTTTAACACTGACATAACTGAGGAAGCCACAAGTATGGAGGGGCTCCTGTGGCTGGGGCTTGGTACACACAGCACTTCCCCACGGGCCGATACCCTCAGACACCCATCTGTTTTCTCCCAAGCCATGGAGTAACAGTGACAGCTGGCTCCTCTGTGGGTCCTAGACTTGACGTGCCTGAGGGGAAGGCCCACCAAGTAACTGCCAGAGGGAGAGGGTCGTCCTCATGCCTAATAAAAAACAGCACTGCCAGTCACTCTCATAATAGCAGAAAGTCACACACAGGAAATCAGCTGTGGGTCCGCCAATCTTTGGAAGGGACTGCATCTCCCAGGAGCAATGCTTAGAAGGCCCCTCACCCTGTCATCGGGAAGCGAGCAGCACTTGTAGGCCAATTTGTCACCCAGAGAACCAGCATTGGCTCCAAGCATGTGCCCCATCCAGACAGCTCTATGAACAAAGAGGCCATGTTCCAGGAATTGCCCCCAACCAGAACCATTCCAGCCTGTTGCCAGCAGGTTGTAAATCCAGAATTGGCAAGCACAGGGCTCAGTCAGACTCTGAGAGGCACCTGGGAGGTGGAGCTGGGTTTAGCCAGTTACTGGGAACACAGGCTCTGGCTGGGCTGGCCACGGGGGCACAGCTGTTGCAGACAAATGAGTAGGACTGTGGGGTACCTGATTCTCTCCAGCTCAAAAGATGACCTTAACAAAGGCCAGGGTTCACATGGCAAAGGTCAAATTCTAAGTTAGACTGATAATTTTCGAAGTTCATGATTTTAAAAAGTATAACTGGAAGGTTAAATTCATACACTGGGACTCTGATGCACAGGGGTTCTCAGCCAGGTTTCAGGCCCAACCCGTCTCTCACATATGGCAGCCCAAACTCCATAAAAACTCTCACTCAACTGCCCTGCGCACAGGAAAGTGCAACCCAAACATGGCTGTTCAGTAAATGTCTCATAGTGACAGCGACAGCTGGGGCTGGGGGAAGGCTGTGTGGGTGCCACACACTACCCCTCACCAGAGTGCCCTGCAGCCCACTCCTAACCACACAGCCTGCTGTCACACAGCCAATGTGGCCACACTGAGCCTCTCTGAGACATCAGCTTGTTGCCCTTAGCCAGCCACCCTGCACTGCCTGCCCAGGTACCGCAGCCAGGGCCAGCACTCCCTCCCTCCCTTTGTGTCGTGGTGAAAGGGGGAAGCGACCAGGGACCAACATTCAGGTAGGTGTCTTGGCCCTAGACCTAGCTCCCAGGCTGATCTTTGAGGTTGAGCGTCAAACAGGCCAGCACCCAGGGGAGGAAGATGGGGTGTGTGTGTCCTGCCACCTGCTACCAAAACACCCGTTCCTTGCACCGGGCTGGGGTGTCCCTGCTCCTGAGCTGAGGAACAGCACCCCCTTTCCACTCTCAGCCTGGCTGTTGAGGTGTCAGCTTGGGGCTAGAGCTGGGCGTGTGGTTGCTCAATAACTGCCCAGGATACCTGTGTGAGAGAAGTCCTTGTCTTAGAAGACACCAGGTACCCAGGACCTCCAGAGCCACCCTGGCCTTTCTTCCAAGAGCTCACACCCAAAGCCGAGCCTTCTTTAGATGACCCTGTCTCAGCCTTACGCTTCTGTCTCCCTGTCCTTATCCCCTATGGTGGCAGTGCTGTCACATGCAACCCATGTGACAGAGGGCTGCTAACAGCTTCAGTGACCAACTGAGGATCTAGTCACTCAGTACCGACCTGGAGGTACTTTTGAGATGAACCAGCCTAAAGCGCTGGCAAAGGACACCCACCCCGTCCCCCATGAAGAAATGCATTCTGCCAGCTCAGCCTTGAGATCTGGATGGAGAGCCTGGGAATTCAGACACTAAAGTACATATCTGTCTCCTGTAGCAGCTACAGAAGAGCACAGGCTGAATGTTTCGTGACTGTGCTGTGTCTAAACTGCATTTTTCACAGGAATCTGGAGCTGCATATGAAGATGACTGTTTCCTATTAGCGAGGAAATAGAAAGAACATGTTCTGCACAGGGGATCCGGCGGCGGGTCCCACCCTGTCTTCAGTGCTAGAGGGAGGGGAGGCACGGCAGGGGAACTGTGCAGAGACAGCCTTCTCCTCGGCTGGTGTGGGGCCTGATGCAATGTCTCCATCCTGCTGGGTGACGGCAGGTGGTACATCACAGGACCCCACTTCGATGCTATGTAACGGCACTTGGAAAAATACCACATT